CCAACACACAAGCTCTCAAAAGATCCTTAAGTGACTGAATCGTCCTCTCAGTCTGACCATCTGTTTGCATATGATAAGAAGAACTCAAATGCAACTTCGTACCCAAAGCATTTTGCAAACTTCCCCAAAATCTCAAAGTAAACCTCAGATCTTGATCTAACACAATACTAGACGAAATACCATACAAACTTACAATCTTCTCAATGTACAACTTTCCAAGCTTCTCCATTGGATAATTCATTCTCATCGGAATAAAGTGAGCATATTTCGTCAACTTGTCCACAATAACTGAAATAGCCTCAAAATTACTCGATGTTCTGGGTAGACCAGACATAAAATCCAAAGAGATATTATCCAATTTCCATTCATGAATAGATAACGGTTGCATCAAACCAGATAATTTTTAATGTTCAATCTTCGACTTCTGACAAGTCAAACAAGAATACACAAATTCCACAATCTCTTTCTTCATACCTATCCACCAAAATAATTTCCTCAAATCCTGATACATCTTAGTGGCTCCAGGATGAATACTCAATCCACTATGATGCCCTTCCTCAAGAATTCTCTTCTTCAAATCAGCTATATTCGGAACATAAACTTTATCACAACACTTCATGATACCATTCTCATTAATCCGGAAATCGCCGCCTCGACCTTGATTGATCAACGTCAACTTATCCACCAAAACCAAATCAGATTTATGACCTTCTTGAATCCCATCAAGAATGCCACTAGTAAGCTTCAACATATCAAGCTTAACTCTAGAAGAAGTCTCTTCACAAACCAAACTCATATCTCGAAATAGCTCGAGTAATTCCAACTCTCGCACCATCAACATCGACATATGCAACGACTTCCTACTTAAAGCATCATCCACGACATTCACTTTACTCGGATGGTAATTCAAACCAAAATCATAATCCTTCAAGAATTACAACCATCTTCTTTGCCTCATATTCAACTCTTTCTGATTAAATAGATATTTCAAACTCTTGTGATCACTAAACATATCAAATCTTGATCCAAACAAATAATGCCTCTAATGTTTCAATACAAACACAATAGTAGCTAACTCTAAATCATGAGTCGGTTAATTTCTTTCATGCACTTTAAGTTGCCTTGAAGCATAAGCTACCACTTGTCGATTCTGCATCAACGTACCTCCTAAACCCATCAATGAAGTGTCACAATACACAACAAATAGTTCTGTCAGATTAGGCAAAATCAAAATAGGAGTGATTGTCAACCTTCTCTTAAGCTCTTGAAAACCAGCTTCATATTGTGCACTCCAAATAAAATCTTGACCCTTCCTAGTCAATTGCGTCAACGACAAAGCTAACTTGGAAAATCCTTCAATAAACTTCTGATAATAACCCGCAAAACCAAGAAAACTTATAATCTCAGAAACAGATTTCAGAGCTTCCCATTGAGACACAACCTCAATCTTCGACAGATCAACAACAATACCACCATTCGATATCACATGACCAAGGAAACTCAATTCCTTCAACCAAAACTCACACTTAGAAAGTTTAGCATACAACTGCCTCTCTTTTAACACAGATAACACAATCTTCAGATGCTTAGCATGACCCTCTTTACTCTTTGAATAGATCAAAATATCATCAATGAAAACAATGACAAACTTATCTAAATACTGATGAAATATCTTGTTCATGTATTCCATAAATACACCAGGTGCATTGGTCACACCAAACGGCATCACAAAATACTCATAGTGACCAAACCTTATTCTAAAAGTGGTCTTCTGAATATCTTCATCCTTCACACGAATCTTATGATACCCAGACCCCAAATATATCTTTCTAAACACACTTGCACCAACCAATTGATCCATCAAATCATAAATCCTCGGAAGTAGATACTTATACTAGATATTCACCTTGTTCCGTTGTCTATAATCCACGCATAACCTCATAATACCTTCTTTCTTCTTAACCAACAAAACCGGTGTACCCCACTGTAACACACTAGGACGAATAAACCTCTTCTCAAGCAAATCCTCAAGTTGACTCTTCAACTCTTTCAATTCAGATGCTGACATCCAATATGGAGCCATCGATACTGGACTAGCTCCAGGAACTAAGTCGATCGTAAAATCTACTTCACGCTTTGGCGATAAAATCACGTACATCTTCAAGAAACACCTCAGGAAAATCACGAACTATTATTAATTCACCAATTGCTCTCTTCTCACAAATTTCAAACATTGTCATCAATGCTAACAACGCAGCGCCATCCTGCACCGACTCATTCACTTTACATACTATTGTTGCACCAAAAAAATTTCCCTCCTATCTTGTCGTTATCTGGTTTAAGCTTCTCATTTCATCAGCATAACCTACATGCATTCATAAAGCATCTTTGGTTCAAAAGATCAGCTATTTTAAGGGTTTTACAGTGTTTGAAGTGTACATGTCCAATAAAGGCTAATTTCTTTTGATTCTTCTGTTTCTTCTTCAAGCGGTGAAGTGAGGAATTAGGGTTTTGATTCATGATTATCATAATTCCATTTTTCTCTTCAAGCTACAAGGATATTAGGGTTTATTTCCCTATGTGTGATCAAAGATTCAAGTTGATTCAAAGTAGTTGGCTCTCAAAGTCAACATTTCACAGTTCAAGTTCAGAAATTCATAACTTCATCATTACTCAACATTTTTGAGCGATTCTTTGGGCATATGAATCTCTTTGACGTCCTCTCCAATTTCTCTTTACAAGTCAAGAGCGGATTATGTATAAAAGATCATTAATAATTTGAATACTTTAGAGGCCATGTTGTGGATTTGACTTAATTTCAGTTGACTGTTGCCCGATTTTCAAGGATCATAACTTCCTCAATTTTCAACATTTTGGGACGATTCTTTTTGCAAAGTATCACAAATGATATTATCTACAAGTTTTCTTCAAGGATCAGATTCAAATTATACTCAAAAGGCCATTGATTTTATTGAAACTTTATAAGTCATTTTGCTGGTTTAGAGGTTTCTCATCTGTTGAATTGCAATAGTTCAAACTCAGGTTCTTTTCAATTCAAGGAATTCTTCAAGACCAATTTAAGATTAAGGTTTGGAGTGTCAAAATTTCATATTTTTAATTCAAGTTCTTCAATTAAATTCTATTTATTTCTTTTATTCAAAATGTAATCATTGTCATTTATCCTATTTTTAAGTTCCAAATATTAGTTTTCGGATAATATTATTTTTATTTTCTTTTTTATTTCAACATTAATTTTGATTTTTAATTTTTATTCTTAACTCAATTTAAAATTGCTTTAAATTAAAATCATCTTTAACCTTTTCTATTTTTATAATTCCTATTATTCATTCTTTAGCCTTTTCTTTTGCAATATATTTTAATCTTAGTTACTAATCATTTTTCATTATTATTATTATTATTATTGTTTTTTTATTACTAATCATTTTCTTACTATTATGCTATTATTATTATAATTATTGTGTCCAATACAGAAAGTGAAGAGAAAGTTGCAATTGTGGGGACCCATACAAATACAAATATAGTAGACGATTAATTCACATCAAATTTCAAAATGTTCATTGTTGCATTGCTACAAATAAGTCATAAGTTTCGTGAAGGTTTCATCCAAATCCATCTAAGCCATTGTTGCATTGCTACAAATAAGTCACAAGTTTCGTGAAGGTTTCATCCAAATCCATCTAAGCCATCCATTAAAGGCCTAAAATATCATAAATTATTTGGCACGGATCCTGGTTTTACATTCCAAAATTTTCAGCTCCAAAATCCCTCCTCATTCTTTCAATCTTTCCCCCTCAAAATTCCAACTCATTTGCCTATATAAACCTGCTCAAAATCAGATCAAAAGGGGAAATGATTAAGAAGAAAAGAAAATTATGCTCTCAGTGAAGCTTCCCCCAAGCAACTCTCCTTCAACACAACAGCTTGCAACGTATCAACAACAACACCATGCTCTGCAAAGCAGAACCGTGACAATTTATCCATGCAGATACCTGCGAAACGACCCAACAACAACTCAGTCAGTGGCGGATTCACCATATGACAAGGGTGGGCCTATGCCCGGGCTCCACTCAGCCCAATTTTTTTTAGTTATATTATATTTATTAAAATTAAATAAAATCAATTTTAAAACAAAAAGAAAGGAAAAAACAGAAATGTTTATTTTTTAGTTATATTATATTATTAAAATTAAATAAAAATAATTTTAAAACAAAAAGAAAGGAAACAATTTTAAGAAGCTGAAAGGCAAAAGGGAGAAGAAAAAATTACTCTCTCCGCCGTCTCCCACCTTTCTCCTAGTCATCTCCCTCCTTCTGTCATCTCCCTCCCTCTGTCGACTCTCTCCCTCCATCGACTCCCTCCCTTCGTTTCCTACATGTTCCTCCCTCTGTCTCTTCGACTACGTCGTCGTCGCAATCGCAAATCTCGCAAATCACACGTTTTCGACTTTCGGTATAATACTGCTTTTTATTTGTTGTTTATGTTTATGGTATATAGCATTGTTTTGATTTATGAGGAGACTTTGTTGTTATTTAGGTTATTCACAAATTGGTCTTAAAGAGTTATAGTTACTGTAACAAATGTTAATTAAAATTTTTCTTAACAATAAGTTGTAAGCATAAGAATTTCTATACTAAGCTAAGGGCTTGAACATTTCCTTAACAGTAAGCTGTAAGCATACAAATTTTTCATTGTATAAATAGCATTTTTTGTAAAAATTAACAGTAAGATATTTCTTATTTAGATTTAGCTTCTTTTTTTTGTCTTCTTTGTACCAAAATAGCTTAGGTTATTAATTGTTGATGTAAAATTGGTTTATAAATTAGTTGTAGATACATAAATAGTTTTTCATTATAAATTGGTTTATAGATTTTGTTGTTATTTAGGTTATTAATAAATTAGTTTTCTTTGTTGATACCTTTTCATTATAGGTTTTTTAGGTTATTTATAAATTTATTAACTATTTTATCTTTTATTCAGAGATGAAGAGATTTTTGGTTGATAGAGAAAATATTGAGAATGTGAATATTGTACAACCGGAAGCTGAATTAGAACCACCGATTAATAATGTGGTTAATGAGTTTAATCCAAATGAGATTGTACGTGATCCAGTTCATAGGTAACAAATTAATGAGTATGCTCCGGATATTCAAGACCAAGTGAAGAGGGCATATATATTGAAGGGTCCAATGCAACCAGATTTGTCAAGCTTTCCTCGTACTCAATTTGGAAGTGTTAAAAGAGCATTTTGTAAATCATGGTATAAGAATTATACATGGTTAGAATACAGTGAGATAAAAGATGCAGCTTATTGTTTTTATTGTTTTCTATTTAAGCAACCCGAGAGGGTCGAACAATTTGGTTTTGAAGTCTTCACTAAAAGTGGATATAGAGATTGGAAGCATGCATCTCAAGGCTTGAAAGATCATGTTGGTAGTCATAATAGTTTGCACAACTCATGTGTCAAGCACTACGATAATTATAATAATCAAAGGCAAAGTGTGACAAGTAAGTTTGCTAAAGCAACCAAAGAATCAGAAGAATTGTATAAGATTCGTTTGACTTGTTCTTTAGATTGTTCAAGATATTTCATAGCACAAGGCATGGCTTTCTGTGGCCATGATGAATCCTCTACTTCGATAAATAAAGGTAATTTTAGAGAGATGGTAGATTGGGTAAAATCTCATAATGAACAAGTGAGGGATGCTTTTGATCGTGGTGAAAAAAAAATTGTACAATGACTTGCAGTGACATTCAAAAGGAGCTTGCAACGTGTTGTGCACATGAAGTTATCAAGGTGATTATGGAAGAGCTTGGTGATAGACAATTCTCCGTGATTATTGACAAGTCACGTGATATATCCGTCAAAGAGCAAATGGCAGTGATGTTGAGGTTAGTAGTTGTATTTTCCAATTTCTAATTTTCATTACCTATTATTTTCTATGCCGCCAAGTAAACAGGTTGAATTTGTTTTAGGTTTTTGAATGACAAAGGGAATGTTGTGGAACGATTTATTTCTCTACATCATGTCACAGATACTTCATCTAAGTCATTAAAGGATGCTCATTATGGTATTCTTGATAAGTACACATTATCTATTTTAAGGATACGAGGGCAAGGATATGATGGAGCTTCAAATATGAGAGGTGAATTTAATGGTTTGCAAAGAAAAATTCTAGAAGAAAACCCTTATGCTTTTTATATCCATTATTATGCTCACCGTTTGAAATTGGTTGTTGTGTTTGTTACTAGTAGTTGCTCATCTATTCATGATTTCTTTGAGTACATCACATTGATTGTGAATACAACAAGTGCATCTTGTAAGAGGAGGGATGCTTTTACAGAGGCACAACACCAAGATATTTTAAATAAACTTGAGAGTTGTGAGATATCTAGAGAAAGGGGCTTGCACCAATCATCTAGTCCCACTAGACCCGAGGATACTAGATGGAGTTCACATCATACTACATTGCTCCGTTTGGATCAAATGTGGTCCTCTGTGTTAAAGGTGCTTAGTATGGTTGATGAAGATGGATGTGGACCATCTCAAGCAGCAGGTTTGATAGAAAAAATGGAGAGCTTTAAATTTTCTTTTATTTTGAGGTTAATGTTAAAGTTTTTTGGTATTACAAACGAGCTTTCAAATGTATTACAAAGAAAAGATCTTAATATTGTGAATGTTATGGAATTAATTGATGTTGTCAAAGCTCGGTTGAGCATAATGAGAGAGAGAGGTTGGAATAATTTTTTTGCCGATGTCCAAGAATTTTGTGTTGTTAAAAGTATTCCGGTATCAAATATGGATGAAGAAATACCGGTTCGGGATCATTCAAGAGCAGAAGGGAGGACTATCATTAATCTTCATCATTACCGTGCAAAGATTTTTTATGTTGCTATTGATAAAATATGTGTGGAGATGGATCACCGCTTTAGTGAAGAAAGTAACATTATACTTGATTGCTTCTCATGTCTTGACCCCAAGAACTATTTCTCAAAGTTTGATGTTGATAAACTTGCTCGTCTTGCTGACATTTATTATGCAGACTTTTCTGATGACGACCGAGGAATAATTAGGGATCAACTGGAAACTTATGTGCTTCAAGTGAGAAGAAATGCTTCATTTTCCATCTGTGAAGATGTTCAAAGTTTGGCTATGAAGATAATTCAAACTGAGAAACATTTGGTATTTCCATTGGTTTATAAACTTATTGAGTTAGCTTTGATATTGTTGGTGTCGATAACATCTGTTGAAAGAGCTTTTTCAGCAATAAAGATTATCAAGTCTAAATTGCGCAATAAGATCAACGATGTGTGGTTCAATAACTTGATGGTATGTTATACCGAGCGGGAGATATTCAAGTCACTTGATGATATTGATATTATTCGAACATTCACCGCAAAGAAGTCCCGGAAAAGACACTTGCCTCATAATTTTATTTAATCCGCTATTGTAAGTTTATGTTTATTTCTTTTATTGTAAACTATATTTTTGTTGACAGAGTGACGAGTCTCTTTTGTTTTGAGTGATGACTATTTATCTATTATATACAATGTGAATTTGCGGTCTTTAAATTTTTTCTAAGACTTTAGAATTTTTCTGACTCCACCACTAAACTCAGCGGTGTTTAAATGCTGACACTCACAAAAGCAGCCACGAGTCAGAGAAGAAGAAAGTAGAGATGAAGAAAAAATATGCGGTTAAAGCTACCCCAAGCATCAATTGAATCTGTAAATTTCCAGAGCAATTCCAATCAAACTAAAAAGAAGCAGAAGGGATTTCATACTCTCCTTGTTTGAAGCTCTGCATAGAGACTCTGACAAGTATCAATTTTTCCACTATTTTTGAACATACATGATTTTCTGAGTTGTTTGTTTTCGTTGTTGTTACTTCTCGTTGTTCGCACTGCTCTACGTTGTTGCTGTTTGTTATGAGATCATCATGAAAAATTGAACTAAGAGCTTTTGTTGGTTCATTCGTTTGAGAGATGAAAGTGAATGGTTTTGTTTAGGCGTAAAAGCATCTCGTGAGAAAGCACCAAGTGAAACTGTGAAAACTATAAACCAAACCGTTGAGTTTGACCGTAACAGTGAGGAGCCGAATCATAGATTGCTGAGAAAGAGGAAAATCGAGATGATGATAAGAGTATTTTCGTGAGAGGAAATCAAAAAGCAGTGAGAGCTTTAACTGAACAGAAGGTTGTTTGTTGAGCTTTAACCGAATCATAGTAATAGTTGTTGGGCCTTGAATCCAATGTCTTAACCCTTATGAAAATGTTATCCTCTACCCTATGTATTTTACTTACACCTTTATTTTTAGTTTTAAAATAATTTTCTTAATTCTAATTGACTTAGTCTAATTTTTTTCAATTAAAAATAATACAGTTTTTTTAAATAAATAATTTTTTTAACTAGTTTAATTTTAGAATTAATTTTTGTGAATAATTAATTAATAGTTGACATTTTGTTTTATTTTTAATATTGTTTAGTTAACTTCTTTTAATGGTTTAGTTTCGTCTTTTCGATTATCTGATCTCATTTTTGCTTTGTTGCTTTTAATTAATTAATTAAATATTAATTTAGTTAGTTGATTTTGTTATTAAAAATTAATTAGTTTTGTTAATTAATTTTTTTAATTTAATTAATTAAGTTTAATCGATTTTTTATTAATTAGTTAAATGTTTAAATGTTGATTGCTTGCTTGTGTGATTACCATGTTTCCTTAGGATTTTTAATTTAATTTTAATCTCTTGATTAAATTGAATTAATTAGATCTTAGGCCTTCTAAACCAAGTATGACAACTCTTTGGTAGATTTTCTCCCTTCATCCTAACTTTAGGACCACCATTGTATGATAATTAGAACTATAGTCTGCCTTAAAATTTTTCATTCCCCTTTTTGCATCTTTCTAAAACTAAAACTTCTTTCTTATCAAAAACTCAAAACACTTAACAATAATGATACGAACCATATGTCACGAGCCTTAAGCACGTGTGGAGTACTTTGGATACGTGACGTTTGGCTCGACCATCCAAAGTCTCTCATGTCATAGACTTTAATGTGGTTCAAATCTCCAAATCCTTTTTCAAGGTAAACAATACAAATCAATTCAAACCTTTTGCCTTCGGACTTTTCTTTAAAAAAAACCCTTTTCACAAAAAAGGACGTGTTACTTCCTCTCAGCGCAAACGACGCGTAATTCTTCAAAGGGCGGGTTGCAAAATGTCAATTTCTAGAGTGTGAATATAACATTATCCCTCTGAAAAACATACAACAAACCAAAACACCTTTTTAGGTGAACTACAAGTGCTCTTATTCCGTATTGCACGAAAGGTGGTACGTAGGTACAAAGGTTCGCAATTGCGGCTGGCACAACTAATAAAAACTTTTATTTTTGTATATACGTTGCACTCATGCATTTCCCCTTAGCTTGGTAGCATTAGATTTAAACACACTCATTGATTAGAACAACAAGAGTGGATCTTGTGGAGTACCAAGGACGTGAGGGGTGTTAATATCTTCCCCTTGCGTAATCGACTCCCATACCCATTCTCTTGGTCGCGAGACCTTGATTTCTCCCTTCTCAGGTTTTCTTCGATGTTTTCCTTTCCCTTTTGTGGGATAAATAAATATTCGATGGAGACTTCATTATTTTTCCTAGTTGCTTCAACTATCATGCTGGCAAGACAAGCCTATCCCATCCAATATGATCTCGTCTACTATCAACAAGAGATTAAGAGTGATTAATTCCTCAATTTGTCAATAGATAGCCGACAACCATAATGGAGCATAAACTGTCGTTACTAAACTATAATAGTTTTTCTCTTGTGCTCAAAGTTACCTAAGCATAATGTCGCACGTAGTAATAGCTTCTCCCCACTCGTTTCAATCTCTCTCCTGAAAACAAGTGATCACAAAACAAGAAAGTACCAGCAGTGTTTCACACACATGTCACATACTAAGAGAATAAACACATTAATAACCTGGCCAACTGGCCGACCATGCTCTAATACGACTAATGTAACACTCCCTAAACCCGCAATAATATGGCATAAAATCAGAGTAAATTAGCATGCATATCAAAAGATGGCATCACATGTACTTCAAAATTAACACATATACACCGGCCATGTTCATAACACACATTTAAATTCATGTTCCATACACATATGGATTTCGTAGCAGAATAATTCTCTTTTCGCAAACGATATCAGTAATTGAAATCCCATAATGACAATTATATAATAACACATTAGGAACTAAAGGTCACTCATCACATAATCTCAATACATCATAAATAAGGAGAGTATAACAAACATCTCTCAAAACAAACATGAGTTTAAACGTTTCCCTGTGTTACATGACCAGAGCATGACTCAATACCTAAATAAGGATAAACAAATAACTAGCTCCTCAGACTAATC